TGTTGAAAGGTGTTGAACAGACACGTGGAATAATCTTGTTTACATTAAAAAAGTTTTTAAGAGACAGATGGAGGAACCAAGAGAGAGAGAAAGCAAGCTTCCATCTGCTGGCTCGCTTCTCAGAATTCCCACAAGGGCCCCAGCTGGGCCAAGACCAAAGCCAGGGACTAGGAAGTCACTCCTGGTCTCCCACATGGGTGTCAGGGACCCAACCACTTGAACTGTCATCTGTTTATTCCCCAGCTGTGCAGTAGCCAGGAAGCTGAACTCTAAAATGGGGCCAACACTTGAACCCAGGCTATTCAATATGGGAGTTGGGTGTCTTGACTGCCAAGCCAACCACCACTCCTGTGTACATGTTAAAAAGATTAGTATATAATTGTTAACCAGGTCTAGAACAGTAGGACAGAATAAGCACCATACACGTGGACTGGTGAGAGGTCCAGAGAGATACACCTGTGTCTATACAGCTGATTTTATGGCCCTCGCATCACTCAGCACTGCCATGATATACAACTCTAGGGGATACTTTCTCATTATGCTCTTATGGCATCTTGAAATAAAGCAAAATGGAGGGCTAAGGCAAGAGTGAGGATCCAGGGGCTGGCGCTGTGGCACAGTGGGTTAGCCACTGTCTGCAATGCCAGCATCCCTTATGGGCTCCAGGTTGAATCTCGGCTGTTGTGCTTCTGATCCAGCTCTCTGCTAATGCACCTGGGAAAGCAGTGGAAGATGACCCAAGTCCTTGAGTTCCTGCACCCATGTGGGAGACCTGGATGAAGCTCCTGGCTCCTGGCTCCTGGCTCCTGGCTTCTGGCTTCTGGCTTCTGGCTTCTGGCTTCTGGCTTCTGGCTGTGGCCTGGCCCAGCCATTTGTGGAGTGAACCAGCAGATGGAAGATCTCTCTCTTTCTCTCTGTCTCTGTCTCTGTCTCTGTAACTCTTGAGTGAGGATCATCCAGGGACAACCTGTAGCAGCTGTGTCATGATGCATTGGTATTTTTGTAGCCCACATGACCAGTACTTACCTGCCCATGTGAACAGCATAGACTTCCCAGCTCTCCAAGAATCATGGAGGTTTCCACTCAGTTGGCCAAGCATGCCATTTACCATAAAGACAGGCCAGTGGCGTTTCTCAGTTGGCCTAGAGGAGTGACAGGGTTTTCGTGAATGCTGCCAACCTCCTGAAGGACATTCGATGGTCTGCTTAGCTGGCCCTCCTGCTTGAGCTCTTTTGTAGGACTGTCAAGCGAAACTGTGGTCCAGCTGACAACGTAATATCATTCAGGTCACTGGCTCACTCTCAGAACCATCACATCCCTCCTGACGAATCTTTGGACAAGCTGAGTTAATGACAAGGAAGCAGCCTCAGCATTTAAGCCATAGCACATCATTAATCTGTAAGGGCAATTTAAGCAAAAGCATTTTTGTGTTAAATTCAGAACCTGCCTTTTTGTTTTTTACAGTTATATGATTAATTCTTTTCTGAGACATTAGAAATAAACTGTCTTAGGAGAAGAAACGCTGGCTGTGAGAAAAGCAAGCTTCTACAGCATAAACAAACCTAAGAGGCAGGGTTGCTGAGAGGGGCTCCCAGACCATGCTTCTGTGGCTTCGGAGAAATGAAATTCTTTTGGGACAGTTTGCCATCTCTTCCAGAAAATTTCCTGTCAAACTTACTGTTTGGCAACCCAGTCCATTAAAAAAAAAAAAAAAAAATCACCCTGAAGTTAAGAAAATCCTCCTTCTATTCAACTCATGTCTTTAGAGCTATAATTCAAACCAATCTCCTTTTCTTTGGCCTTCTTGGGATTGCAAGGGAACTGGTCAGCATTTCCACATACGAGGGCCTTTCATCAAATTACTCCTTATTCTCCTTTCTTCGGGCTAACAGTTCCGCTTCCTGTAACCTTTAGTTGCAGGATTTATTCTCCAACCTTTTAATAATTTTGATTGGTCTTTCCCTGGATTGTCTCCAGAGGGCTTTTATGAATTCCTGTCATATAAATTTTTTTTTCACTTTATTTGAAAGGCAGGGAGACAGAGAGGGAGAGAGAGAGACAGTGGTCTTCCATCTGCTGGTTCACTCCCCAAAAGCCTGCAACAGCTAAGGCTGGGCCAGGTCAAAGCTAGGAGCCAGGAACACCATCTGTGACTCCTCCAGGTCTCTGATGGAGGTGGCAGGGGTACACGTAGTTGATTGATCACCTGCTACCTTCCTAGAGTCTACATCAGCAGGAAGCTGGATTGGAAGGGGAGTAGCTGGCAACATAAACCAGGCACTCCAATATGGGATGTAGTAGTCCCAAGCGGCAGCTTAAGCCACCACGCCATACACCCACCACTTGTCATATAATCTTAAGAAGCTATTTTCTCTCAGAAAATCCAAAACCTGCTGTCATGTGCTGATGCATCCAGTTCTGATTTTGGTAGTGCTCTCAAGTGGGGGCACATCACTTGGTTGAGGTGATTGTCGGCATCTTTAGTTGCTTATATCTCCGTGAGTCTCATGTGGACAGTATAGCAGTCCAAGTTTCTGTCATTTATTGCCTTCCTCTATTTATTATAAATAAAGAAAAAATAGCAGAAGGAAGAATGGGAAGGGAGACAAATTCTAAATAGAGAAATGGTGAATTTGTCAGAGGACAGAAGTGACTCATGGGGAATTGGATCACACAGGCTTAAGGGACCATTTTTGATTTCACGCTGCTTGAGAATCCATCTCTGGGTCTATGAGGCTGGTGAGAAGGCAGAAACATCTCCTGGCTTATTATCACTGGACATGAGCAGTAGAATTGGAGGGGAGATGGGATGGTAGGTGAATCCATACACTTAAATGATTTTTTTGGCCAAAATCACCTTGTAAATTCATCACATTCTCATGCAAAGAAAGGGAGTTTGACATTGTTCAGAAGGAGCTCATTTTCTGTGTCATTCTTGAGACTTCTTGAAAACCAGTGGGGCTCTAGGCTTCAAGATGACCCCCCAGAAGTTACACAAATCCAGGTAGTGATTGTGTGTTCATTGTATACGTGAGTGTTAGCTGCCTCCTGGGTTGCACAAGCCTACAGCAGCCACTGTGTGCCTGCTTAGCATCTCTTCTTAACATCATCCCTCCTGCCACCCCCTCCTCCAGAAAGCATCCTGACCCAAGTCACACTGGAGGAGCCACGTGGGAAGGAAATGCTTCTTTTTGTTTTTCTCTTCTTTGTTCCAGTTTGTCCCCTACCTCCAAGAGTTAGTATTTTTTGGCAATGGCAGTTAAATTTTTTGTTTGTTGGACAGGCAGAGTGGACAGTGAGAGAGATAGAGAGAAAGGTCTTCCTTTGCCGTTGGTTCACCCTCCAGTGGCCACCGCGGTGGGCGCATCACGCTGATCCGAAGGCAGGAGCCAGGTGCTTCTCCTGGTCTCCCATGGGGTGCAGGGCCCAAGCACCTGGGCCATCCTCCACTGTACTCCCTGGCCACAGCAGAGAGCTGGCCTGGAAGAGGGGCAACCGGGACAGAATCTGGCGCCCCGACCGGGACTAGAACCTGGTGTGCTGGCGCCGCAAGGCGGAGGATTAGCCTAGTGAGCTGCAGCGCCAGCCCATTGGGCAGTTAAATTACAACCCATTTCTTTGGTACCCTAGAGTCCCTCAAGTATAAATTTTTTAAAGATTAGAACAAGGAAATTCCCCCCAAAGAATCTCTTTTGGTAGTACAAGGATGATCTTATGTTAGATTTTTTTATTTCCTCTGCATTTCTGCAATGTTTAGTCAGCAATTTGGAAAAAGATTTGTTTCTTTGAAAGGCAGAGTTGGAGAGAGAGAGAGAGAGAGAGAGAAAGTCCTCCATCCAGTGGTTCACTCCCCAAATGACCACAACAGCTGTAGCTGACCCATGTGGATGGCAGGCACTCAAGCCCATGAGCCATCTTCTGCTGTTTTCCTGGGCACATTATCTGGGAAAGAAGAGGAGAGGTTAAGACTTAAACTGGGATGCCTACGTAGAAGGTGGCAGCTCAACTCACTGTGCCACCATACTAGCCCCCTGGTCAGCAATTGTTGTGGAAGATCTTCCTTAATAATATTAATAATGGTGGTAGCTGTTAATCTTTACTGCGAGTTTACTGCTTGCTACATAATTTAATTTTAATCCTTTCAACAGCTTTGTGAGAGAGGTGCTACTATGACATGTTTTCCAGGAGAAGAAACTTGAGTTACAGAAAGCTTGAGAAGTTTGTCCGTGATCACCCATCTGTTAAATGTTGAACTTGGGCAGTTTCATTTGTCCATGCATTGAGCACTTAGCCTTTGCTGAGCTTGATCCTTAGACTATCAGACGCAGTGCTTGTTAAATAAGAACTTAATCACTAAAATTTTATTTTGTGCTAGGAACTGTTTCCAGCAGTGTGTGTAAGTTAAGTATTTTGTCAGTGTTGAGTGTAGACAAAACTCCTGTTGGGTAGATCTTGTCATGAGGATCACATTTTACTGAGGAGGAATTAAGTGGCTTCCTCAGGGTCACAGAGTCAGGAGGGCGAGGGATGGAGCTAGAATCCACACCAAGGCAGGGAGGAGTTATCGTCGTAGCTCAAACATTAGGACCACTGATAGTTCCTTCCATGCAGTAGGCAGCATTCTTCCTAACATCTGCACCAGGAGGGAGCTTCAGCCCAGCCCTACCCTGACTCTCTGCTCCTTCCCCTAATACTGCAGGGCCTGGGGTGGAGGCCCAGCACTGAGAGAGGAGCTCTCGCCTGAGACTCAGCTCTCCGTACACATGAAGTGTTTTCCTACTTCGCTGGCTGGACAGAAGTCGCAGCTAGATAAGCACGTTGGCAGTGATGGCAGCAGGCACCCTCGCGTCCTGCTGGCTGGATCAGCCTTGGCATCAGCATCGGGCACTTCCTCCCATTTTTGTGCTTTTATCGCATACACCCCTGTCTGCCTGGAACCCCGCAGCTTTGCTAATGGACCTGCTTTTGTTTTCTTCCCCTCTCTCTGGTTCTCTGTCCAGCTCGAAGCTTTTTATTCCATCTTCACCACGGAGCAGCAGGACCACGTGAAGTCGGTGGAATATCTGAGAAACAACTTTCGACCACAGCAGGGTCTCCACGACAGGGTGGTGTCCAAGTCCGCAGTCCGGGACGCCTGGAACCATGACATGGCAGACTTCCTCGACAACCCCCTGGGGACCGAAGCCTCTAAAGGTATTCTTGGATTAAATGCCCTGGCCCGAAGCAAGATGCCTTATCGGAAATCACTTTAAATGAAAGGCAGTTCAAAGCCAGCCAAGAATTGGAACTTGGTGTTAAGAGCATATGTTTCTCTGCTGAAAGAAACCTGTCTGGATTACAAATTGAGGCAGTCATGGGACTAGCTAGGAGGAAATAGAAATGTTCAGAATTGCCCTTTTCACTAGTACCAGATCAGTCATTCCCTCTATAACTTCAAAACTAACTAGCAATGCCTAAGAGAGCTCAAGGCAAAGTGCCTTGCTCTGTAACTCTCCCTGCTGAGGTTGGTAGGTTATGTCTGAAGTCACGCGTGGTGATGATTTGGAGTTGCACTGTACATAGCTGGGAGCTCCTACTCCAGACCCCCACCCCCATGGAAATCACTCGCATTTGTCACCTGTTATTGAAAGCTTTAATTCCTATCTGATAAACATGAATTCACCGTTTTCAGGCATCTTGATCTTTTCTGCTTCTATTTTCTCATATGAAAGGAAGATGTATTTCTCTCCCAGCAAACTAGAAAGTCTCATTCTGTCCTTACGCGCGTCCTGGTGTGGAGCTCTGGGATTTGTCATGGTTGTGGCACGGAGCTCAGACAACGTCTGGAGAATTGAGGTTGGTCCAGGCTCTAGCCCTTGAAAGGGAGGAAGGAGAAACAAGGAATCTCCTTAGGGTGCCAAGAGATGGTTATTTCCCAATCAGGGATGTTCCTTCTTCAAAACTCAGCTTGGGTAAAATGGAAAGAGATTGTGTTACTTGTCTACACTGGAAGTAGGCTATTATTTTTGTGTTCAGAATTCTATGGGAAGGCTTCCTTTCTATAGGACCTTTGCTCCAGCCCCATCAAAAAGGGCCAATTTACTGCCCCAGGAATGTTTTGGCTACTTGAAGAATGAGGTTATATTCCATCAGTCAGCTGCATTGACGTGCTATGTAATAAGAGGGAGCCCATTTTTCCGGGCTCAAGGATCCAAAAAGGTGCTGAAGGAAGAGGAAAGGGAGTTTGAGGATGTGGTCATTTCCTTCCCGTCTGTGATTCTGTTGGAGAACACTGAGTAGAAGGTCGTTTGGCCACGTTCTCTGTAGAAACACTTGAGATCCAAGTTATTTGGGTCTGACACCTTTTCCAAGGCAACATTCATTGAGAACAGTGGGAGAATTAGCAACTCACAAACCTATAAAATATCTCGGGTTGGGCTAGCACAGAAGGCCTCACCTGAACTAATATTCTTAACCTAGCTAAAAATAAATAACAAAACTCAGGGGCTTTCTCTCAAGAGAACTTGCTTGGGAAAAAGCAAGGAGCATGGGGTGGACTATTTTATGCGAGGTGGGATGTGGAGGGCATGTGAGGGTGAGGAATTTATATCACAGGTAAGCATAAGACTTGGTAGCTCAGAATTGCTGAGATTATGACAGTGAGAAGCTCTTTCTTGAAAAATGGGCTGAGCACGTGATAGATACATCAGCTGTGTAGAGGAAATATATGGCCTTTATTATCTGAGAAAGTTGGAACAGATAATGGTTTTTGTTGCATTAAATTGTCAAAGTGGGCAAGATCTTGCACTGAGCAGACTCTGAATTTGACCAGAGTTAGGGATCCGTCCTTCATATGGGTAATCACTTCTTCATTTCATGAGGTTGGCCCAGTTATCACAGTGTCCAGTGCTGACTCTTTTTTTATGTCTTATGTATTTGTTTTGCTTCAAAGAAGCATTTTCTCTATCATTAATAATAATGATAATGATGATAATGCATTTATTTTCTAAAATGTTGCATCAATATAAAGAAAACAGATTTTATGCATTCTATAGGTGCATTTCCAAGAAGAAAACCACACTTTCCTCTCTCCCTGTTCTCCCCATCCTCAATCTTCCTCCCTTCCCTCTCTTCATCAGTTTTTGCAAATATATAATTTCAATCCACCCCATATTCACAGGCTTAATTTGCCTCTAGTCATAATATTCAACAAGTAAGAAGTAGGAAGACCACAGTTCCACAGGGGTATACACAGAAGAGCTGAACACAGCAATCATATCCTAAAATGACTATTTCGTTTTTATAGATTTTTTTGGTATTCTATATTAACTACCACATGTCAGAAAAAATATATGATAGTTGTCTTTTTGAGACTGGCTTATTTCACTAAGCATAATGGTTTCCAGTTGCATCAATTTTGTTGCAAAAGACAGGACTTCATTCTTTTTATGGCTGAGGTGCTATTCAATAGTGTATATATAAGATATTTTCTTTATCCAGTCATCAGTTAATGGACATCTGGGTTAATTCCATATCTTAGCTATTGTGAATTGAGCTGCATTAAATATAGGGGTACAAGTAACTCATGTGCTGATTGCTGATAATATTTCGTTTGTGTAAATTCTCAAGAGTGGGATAGCTGGGTCATATGACAGATCTGTTTTCAGATCTCTGAGGAATCTTCATACTGTCTTCCATAATGGTTGCACTAGTTTACATTTCCAATAACACTGCATTACAGTACCTTTTCTCCTGCATCCTCACCAGCATTTATTATTTTTTGATTTTTGGATGATAGCCATGCTAACTGGAGTGAGATGATACATAATTGTGGTTTTTATTTCCATTTTTCTGATGACTAGTGATCCTGAGCATTTTTTCATGTGTCTGTTGGCCATTTGTATTTCATCCTTTGCGAATTACCTGTTCATGCCCTTTACCCATGTCTTAACTGGATTGTTTGTTTTGTTGTTGATAAGTTTCTTGAGTTCTTTGTAGATCCTGGATATTAATCCTTTATCAGTTGCATAGTTTGCAAATATTTTCTCTCATTTTGTTGATTGCCTCTTCACTTTGTTGAGTGCTTCCTTTGCAGTGCCGAAGCTTCTTAGCTTGATGTAATCCAATTTGTTTGGTTTTATCTTTATTGCTTGTGGCTCTGGGGTCTTTTCCAAGTAGTCTTTGCCTAAACCAACATCTTGCAGAGTTTCCCCTAGTAATTTGATTGTACCAGGTCATAGATTTAGGTCCTTGATCCATATGGAGCTGACTTTTGTATAAGGTGTAAAGTAGGGATTTTGTTTTGTAATTCTACACTTAGGTCGTTTTCCCCCAGTGCTGACTTTTAAGATGTGGGAACATTAGCAAGTTTCCTGATGTTCCTAGAAGCAGACTCTGACATATATATATAGATGCAGCCCTACTTGTCTTTTTTCATTTTTGTTTTAGAGACAAAGAAAGTAAGAGCTAGTGAGAAAGGGAAAGAGCTCCCATTCACTGGTTCACTTTCAAAATGCCTGTGATGGCTGAAGTGGGGAGCCAGAAGCACAATGCAATTACTTGACCCAGTGCTGCTACTTACCAGGGTTTACATTAGCAAGAACCTGGAGTCTATAGCCAGAGTGAGGAACTGAAGCCAATGTGGCACATGGACATGTTAACGCCTGCTCTGTGTGTGTGCGCGTTTGCGTGTGCGTGTATGTGTCTTTATTTGGAAGGCAAAGTGAAAGAGAGAGATCTTCTATCCACTGTTTCACTCTTCAAATGGCCACTAACAGAAGGGGCTAGACCAGGCCAAAGCCAGGAACCTGGAACTCCATACGGAACCTGGAACACCCACTCAGGTGAGTGGCAGGATCCCAAAGTACTTGAGCTATCTTCTGCTTCTTTCCAAGGCCCTCTAGCAGGGAACTGGATTGGAAGCAGGATAGCCAGGATTCAAAGCAGTGCTTTGATATTGCATCCCATATCAAAGCAGTGGCTTCACCCACTACACCACCAACTGGCCCAAATCTGTGTTTTTAATATTGTAGAATAGTGAAAATTTTCACTAATCCTCTGTGAGGATCTGATCACTGAGTCTGAAAAATAAACAACTGGCAGACAGATTAACAGGGGGAAAGTTGTTTGAGTTTTATTATGTACACAAGAGTATCACATGAAAGAAAAGTGAGTATATGATACTCAGAGATCTAGAAGTTCATATATCCTCTTCGTAGGGGATAAATGAGGGGAGTTAGTGACTTAGTGGGAAGTAACTGATTTGGAGAAAAGATGAGTGGATCCTCTGAAGAATAGGTGATGCATGTGACAGAGTTGGGCTGACATGGTGAAAACATCTACTCTTGTCTCCTGTGATCCAAGTTAATCTTACTGGTTGGTGAACTTCCCAGAGAGGGAATTCATGAAAATTGAGTTTCTTTTGCAGGCTCTGTCTTCAGGCAGGTAAGGAGGACCCAAAGTCCTCACTAGGATTGGTTGTACAGCCTAGGAGTTAAGGTTTCGGTATCCCATATCAGAGTGCCTGGGTTCAGTTCCCAGCTCTGATCCTGACTCTAGACTCCTGCCTATTTAGACCATGGGAGGCAGCAATGATAGCTCAAGTAGTTGGATAGATGACAGACATCTAATAAAATATATATGATAGATAGACAGCTGCATAGGTGGAGCCCCTCACCATGTTTGCTTTTCCCTAATCGCCTTTGGTTTAAAGTTTGAAACAGCCTGTGTTGTCAGTATATTTCCTGAATCCTTCAACATACTGTGAGAGTGTCTACTACATGTATACTACTGTATACATGTATACTACGTGTAAATATGCATGTAGTATATGCAGAGCTCCCACCGTCTGCCTTTGCAGGAAGCTAGAGTCAGGAGCCGGATGCAGGCATCAAACCCAGGCACTCCAATATGAGAGCAGGTGTCTTAACTAGGATCTTAACTGCTAGGCCAAATGCCTATGCCAACTTAGTGGTGAATTCCTTTTTCCACTGACTTTCTGAACCTCACACTTTCAGGCTTGCTTAGATATTACCAGTGAGTTTCCCAGAGTGAGTGTACATAAATAACCTCTTACACTTCTGCCTACAAGGCAGGACAGCTTCCTGTTTTCACAGCCTTATGTTCTAAGGTATAATTTACATAACATAAAATTCAACTATTGTAAATGGACAACTTAACAATTTTTGTTAAGTTGATAGTCGTGCAGTCATTAC